TCCAGTGTAGTAGAGCTCTGGATTGTTTACTCTTCAAGTCCAAGCTTTGTGGCAGGTTTGGAGAGATATGGCTTCCTGGTTCATATCTTAGCCTGGGTTAGTACATTTGCCCAAAAAGGTTGCTGCAGCAATGGGAAGCTACAGGTGCAGGAACAAAGCCATTACTGTGATGGAGAAACTTGGCACTTCCTGTTAACCTGTTTGCTCAGCAGCATCACCTGCCAGAGAGATGTGTTGGTTTTGTGAACGGACAGATGACAGTAGAATTTTAATGTAAATCAAGTTTGTTGGTTGATACAGCAGGTTGAAGTGAACTGTGCACTAGCCTCAGTAGCCTCTTAACAAAATAAAATAATTAAGCATAGTGCATAGTATGTGCAATCCCTCCCCCCTCCTCTTCTCAGTTACCATCTGTGTCCAATAAATTATACATGGTGGTGAAAATATTGTGCCCCTAATATCTAAACAGTTTAATGCTGAATTAATTAGTGTGATCTTTTTAATCCCTTAGAACTATGGCCAGGATTTTTCCAAAGTAACTAGTGATTTTAGATGCCTGGATTTTTGGTGCTCAGCTTCAGATATTTGGGATGAAATCTTGGCCCCCTCAAAGTCAATGGCAAAACTCCTAATGACTTAAAGGGGGACAAGGATTTTACCACTAATTTTCAGAGGGTGAGTGCTCCCCACTTGCTGAAAATGAGGGCCTTTTAAATGTCAAGTTGGGCACACACAATTGCTAGTCACTTGGAAAATTGTGATCTGTAAATCCTGTTCTGTTCCAATGATGATCTGATGCTTATAGTTTTGTTTCACTAAAATGTTATTTACAAAATGGCAGATAGAAGTGCAGTAGCCTTGATTGGCTGTTGAATCATATTGTAACATTACAGAGGACCCATATTTACCAAAACAAAGAAAAATACAGGAACCGTGACACCTATAAGTATCAATTACTGCCTTTCGTCCACTCAGAAGGGGGCATTTCTTACCATTTCCTGTTTTCTACTGGTTGTATAGAAGGCCCAGCTAGCCTGTAAAATGTTGCCCATTGGCATTTAGTTATTTTAACTTTAGTGCTTCATCTATAAAATTCTGCCGTCCAGGTTTTGAATTTGTTGTTGGGACATTTGATGACATTGTTGAACAGTTACGAAGTACAGCAAAACAGCCCTTTTAAAATTAGAAAAGCGTGAGAAGTAGGCAACATGTGCCACTCACTGTGTGGTGTTCAAATAGGGAAAAACCCAACTCCCAGAACGAAGGATTTAATCTCCATTTGAATTACAAAAACATCACCCCACTTTTTACTGATGCTTATTCCAGTTTATAGTAATTAAATGTTGCATTTTGCTTCTTCCTCTTTTACTATGTTGGTGTTTAGTTTCTAGATATCAAACGGATTTCAGTAAAATACTTTATGTCTGGAATTAAAATGTGACTATTGTAAACACATTGCAGAAGGGTGGCTGGGCCATGTGACCACCTTGATCATGGAAATGTAAATAGAAACTAATTTACCTTATTAACCTCAAGGAAGTGATGGCTCTAGCACCGATCTCATCTGAGGAGCCTCACAGCAGCAGGTTGGAGAGTCTAAACTCCTCGAGTAATAATTTCCATTGAAATGCTTATGTAATAAATGCCATAGCTACTTACATCATATGTTCAGTTATGCCATATACATGTGGCATCAGAATTAGAGTGCAGGATCTTGGAGACCAAAACCACGGGCCTCTTTACCACTTTAACTAAAGGAATATGGCTCTGCTAATAAGTAAGACCGGCAGTATAAAGCAGTACACCTCTACCCCGATATAACACAAATTCGGATATAACACGGAAAAGCAGCTCTCGGGGGTGGGGGGGCAGCTGCGCTCTCCAGTGGATCAAAGCAAGTTCGATATAACGCGGTAAGATTTTTTGGCTCCCGAGGACAGCGTTGTATTGGGGTAGAGGTGTACTTACACATTAGCCAGTTACATACGTAAGTTTGAATTTCTTCAAATTTGAGCATTAGTCTATGTAGCACAGTAGGACTTTATTTTGGACTGTTTTCTGAACAAATAACTTTGAAGGGAAAAACTTGCTGCTCCAGGAAAGAGACTCTGTGGAAAGAAATCCAAATTTGAACTGGGTTATTCTCCAAACCTCTTCTTTTCAGTCGTGTTCTCCTTCCAATCTCTCCCCTACCCCACACCTCACTTTTTGTCTTCAGCACATTCCTGCCTCTTGCAGGAGATGCTGTACTACGTGATCATCCTTCCCCTTCAGAAGCAGCATGGGGCTATATTGTCAAGTAGTAAACGTGTGCTGCTAGAATCCAAACCTGTGGGAGGTTAGGGCATTCACCTAGCAGCTGTCTCTCTTGACTAACATTTAAAGCTCAACTGTCAGCCCAACACCTTGTCACTCGAGATGTCTTATCAGAACTTCCTGGATTAGCAGCAAACTCTGTTAGCAGTACGCTCTGTCACACCCAAGGCTTTTCACAAATAGCTGGACAATAGTAAATTTTTATTTAAAAAATCTTTGTAGTTAATGATGCAAGTATAACCCAGAGTAGCAAAGAGCATGGGTTTCACAAGACGACTCATCAGAGGCATGTTTAAAAATGTCTATAACAGAGCAGCCATTTGAAGATGTGAAAAGCTGGGAGATACATTATGGTCTGCTAAGCTCTGGGAGTTGTTTTCTGGCCCAGAGAAGTCATCATTCTACCTGAATCTTTCTTAGGACTCTAGAAATAATTGAAGGCCCCCCTACTCAAATGCGTTAAAATTAAATGACTTTTATAAGCACACTAGGTTTTTATGGTTAGACAGTGAAATCCAGGCAGTTTGAAGAGTCTGCATTTGAGACCTGTGATCTGGAGCACTCGGCATTAGCATCTGACACTAGGCATCAGGATATTCGTCTTCAGCTTAAGTGCTGAAGCACCATGGAGGGTGCGGTTTGTGGTAGGGAGCGGGCATTGTACAATGCGGGAGGAAGGTAGGAATCTTCTGTGACATTCCCAGCCATTTTACTTTCTGGCTGAGCACTTTGCTTCTCTCGTTTCCTCCTACACACACTACTAATTATCCTTAACTGGACAAACTTATTTCAAAGTATGTAAGAATGTTTTTTAGCTAGACAGTTTTGTTAAAAATCACACTAGCTACTGTATTTTTACGTTTTATATGTAAAGCTTGACAATAGCTCAGCGTATAATTTATTTGTTTGGTTTTTTATAAAGTTCACCCTCCTGCTTCACGACGATAGCCAATGTATAAACTGTATTAGAGGCACTGCACTGAGCTTTGTATTGAGTCTGTACATGGGAACAAGAACTGTGATTTGTAGTCCACTCAGAATCAATCGTGAATTGTTTTTATTGTAGTTTTCTCTTAAATATACCACATCTGTTCACAATGGTCTCCCAGAGTCATCTTTCCTTTGAACGTCACTTCCACAGAATTGTAAGGCAGCGAAAGTGACTTTAGCAGGGCAGGCTAGCCAAGAGTCAGTGTAGGAAAGACTGCTCCAATGAAACCAAAGCAAAAGGTAAACGGTGTGACTATCAAACACTCTATCCTTGTTACAGTTCTTGTGTCATCTATAATAAAGCTTTAGCCCGAGCCAATACAAGCCACATTTTTCTCCGCAAATGTTAAGGTTTGCTGGCAGCCCCTTGCTTGAGATAGTGTTGCTGAAGATACTCTGTTCATGGAAAGACTTTTAACCCATACTTGGCTAAATAGGTTAAGACTCTGACCCCCATCACAGACTTGTCTGTGACCATTTGTGACTAAAACTAAAATGCAATTTAAGATACATTAAAACATGTGGATAACTCACAGTATTAAGTTCCAGATTTTGTAATGGGGGCTATTGGTTGCTGAACACGTTTGAAAAGCTGGTTATTAAGTGTGTAAATGGGAGCTTGAACACCTTTGAAACCTCTGTCACCGGGTGAACTCACCACTGGTGGTGCTTCCTGCTGGTCGTGCTGGGGATTAACTCTGGCTAGGCATTGTGCCCTCCTCAGGCAGTGTCCCTCCTGGCATCCTCTCGCCCTGCGGACCCCTCCTCTTCGTGACTCATCCCTCCAGCCAGGTCACTCCTCCCGGGGGGGGGGTACCCAAAGTCTTTCCAGAATGTATCAGAAAGTCCATTGTCTTCAGCCTGTCGATGCCACATCTCCAGTGGCTGGTTGGGGAACCTGGGCCTGCCTCTGCTCCAGGTTCCAGCTCAGGGGTCCTTCTGTCAGCAGCCAAGGCCTGCAGGGACCTGCTTTGCTGCTTTCCTGGCTTCCCCTGCCTCCCAACTCCCTCTTCCCAGGGAGAGACTGCAGCCTACTTCCCTGCTGCCCCTTTCTGTTGCTAGCTCCTGGGCTTTATACAAGCCCCTCCTGTTTCTGTCCTCCTGAGTCTGCTCCCAATCAATTTCCTGCTCCCTGGCTCCTGCTCCAGGTGCAGCCTGTGGAACTGATTGGCCCACCTGGCCATCTTAACCCCTTCCAGTCTTGTGTGGGCTAGACACCCCATCACAGTCCCTAAATGTATATAGCTTAGTTGGAGGTTTATAATATAAACTTTTTAAATTGCTAGTTCATTAGCCCAAGGTAAAGACTTGGAGACATCAAAAAAAAAAAAAAAAAAAAAAGGGTGGGGTGGGGAGGATTTGAGGGAATTGAAGACCTATTTGTAGGAAAACAGGCCAATTATTGCTAATTAAATTCAGGAAAATGTCAAAATATTTTTTGCGCTCTCTCTCCCCCCCTTTCACAGCTACATCCATTTAAGAACATGACTCCCAAGAAGGCACTACTTCTTACCCCTTACTGGAAAAAAGTGAGAGCTGAGCAGGTCAAAATTGTCTTCTAGCCCTATAACTAAAGGAAAGAGTGAGTTAAATCAGAAGGAAGTGAGAGCTCTAGCAAAAGCTACAAAGCTTCCACGTCCTCTAACTCAACTATATTTTTCAAACCTGCTTCTGAAACAAAACCATGACACAGGTTGACTTAACATAACTTTATTGAATGAGAAAAAGTACATTTACTTTTGTCTCTTATCATTCACAATAAAATGTCTATTTTGCAGCTAACTGCCCTGCCCTCGATATTGATAAACACAGTTTCTTCTGTTGCTCAGGAGAAGCCAACGGTAAACAAAGAATCAGAATATTCTGACCTAATGTAGATTTACTGCGTCTTACAAAAAGTTGTTAAATCAATAAGGACAGATTTGTTCTTGTATCTTAATTCTATAAATATACGAGACTTTAAAATAGTCTCACTTTTCAAGCTATAACAATACATTTGCAGTCCCAGAAGAGGTTAATACAAATAGTCTGGTTATACCCTTTCACTTTGTAAAGTGAGTGTGCTGCTTATGAAATGTTTCAAGCCTTGGAAAACAGTATGTTTAGCCAGTGAAGAGATACAGGACAGATGGCAGCAATGCAAGCCTCTCCCATGCTGGCCTGCGCCCTGTGCTTAAGGAGCAGCTCAAGTGGAGAAATGAGTCCCTTCACTCAACTTGCCAACAAAGATGCTAATGGTGGTGATAGCTACTAACTGGAGCTAATCCACTGATTATTTCACACAGACCACTGCCGTGCCACCAGATGGTAATGACTTTTGGTCATTACTAACTTGGGCCAGAGTTAAACTAATGACAGTTCCTGAATCCTTGCCCAACTCATATATAGATAGGGTGAGCAGCTGTAACGGGGTTATGGAGTGTTTTGTTCAAGTCGGCTAACTTTTCCCCTCCTTTGAGAAATAAACATTTTCATTGAAAATCTTACTAAGGTAACAAGCAAGGGAAGGGTGACACTATTCAAGGTTTCTGGAAAACATTACCGCAGCCATTAACTACAGTAACTGTTACTAACGCACTGAAATGAAAGCTGCTCCAGGGACACTAATGCAGTGCTGAAAGCAAATATTGCTTACTGAGGGCTCAGTTCAAGCTGTTTGCAGCTTGCTATGGCAGCAGGCGAGGAATACAAACATTCATGGCAAAAAGGCACTCGGATGCCCCCACAGAGGAGAGCTCCTGTCTGTAAGTGACTGTGACACATCTCTTTGAATTTCAAAACCTCCCTTCCAGTATCAAATCACATTTGTTTTTAAAGATTTAGAAGTAAGTCAGCCAGCGAATGAACGGTCTCTGCTGGCATCTAGGGGTGCTCTACAGCTGCCTTTTGCGGCTACATCCCCCTTCCCCCCAGTCAATCCTAGAGAAGATAAAAGTCAATACGGTCCATACAGCTCACTCGGGCTGACATAAAAACATGCATCTGATTTAAGATTATTGTGCTCTGCCTATGCTTAACTCTGACATGTCACTGAGCCCAATTGTTAGGGAGCTGGGTTCAGTCAGAGCCTGCACCGTAACCTGTCACTTCACACCAACGCAAAAGATAGCATATATACACATTTCTACTGAAGAACTTGAGACTGTTTTGTGAGTCTGGGCAATCCTAGAGGCCCCTGGAACCTCCACCATCTAATCAGTGGTTGGAAACATGCCTGTGTCTGTGTATCAAGAGGTAGATTCCTTGTTTGATGTTTATAATGTGTGAAAATAAGTCCGTGATTGAGACTAGAAAACCCTTTGTAGAAAATCATGAATTAAGAGTGTAGAAAAGTAATGCAGGCTTAGTACAGTAGAACCTCAGGGTTATGAACGGACCTTTCAACCACATGCCTCGTTTGGAACCGAAAGTACATAATCAGGCACCAGCAGACCAAAAAAAAAGCAAGTGCAGTACTGTGTTAAACAAACTACTAAAAAAATAAAGGGAAAGCAGCATTTGTCTTCTGCATAGTAAAGTTTGAAACTGTATTAAATCATTATTCAGTTGTAAACTTCTGAAAGAATAGCCATAACGTTTTGTTCAGAGTTACAAACAACTTCCATTCCTGAGGTGTTTGCAACTCTGAGGTACTACTGTACTCTGATGGTGTAGTTACAAGTGTTCCTTTTCCAGATGTAGGAATTAATGTACATCCCAGCTGCCTTCACAGCAGTCTGAAATAATTCCATGGTTATTACCCTGCTCAAACCAGTATTAAGATAACACTGCTACCAGTATCATTAAAAGTTTGACTTCAGTAATAAGCAAAGCTAAAGATTAACCATTAAGTTAAATAACTCCGTAGTTAATTTATATGGAAATATCAAATAGCTCTGTGGGCTAGGCTGACAAATACAGGCAGAAGTTTTGTGACTATTTTAAGAAGTGACACATCTAGTTAATGAAACTAGATGGAGGGGGATTTTTTTAAACATACTAAAATAAATCCTAAATAAAATTAGGGCCCAAACACTTTTGCCATATATCTGCACCTCGTTCATTTATGCTATATTTGACCTTTGTTACAAGTTACACATCCAAGGGTCATAAAAATACATTATTATTAAAAACGTCATGAAATTGAGAAAAATACCCTGAACTTGCCAAGTTCTGAACCTCCTGAAAAGTGCTGAATATCCTGAGTCCCCCTTGACGTCAGTGGCAATTGAGGGTGCTCCACTCTTCAGGATCAGGCCATGAGATGGCAGCATCCAGCCAAAAACTTTTGGAATAAGTTGTGTATGTAAATTCAGTACTTTTACCTTTCAACTTTTCCCAGCATTTGCAGGAGAGCCACAACTGAGTTCTATGGAGATGCTCTTTTTTTTCTTTGCACTCACTGTAGAAGAGAAATGTGTGATATGCACTTTGCTATTTTAAGGCATGTGAAAACAGTTTTTTAAAAATGACAGAGCTAAAGGATTAAAGCAGAAATTAGAAAGGAAGTGGCATTTCCCCTTGACTCTGGCCCCAATTTTTGAGCTCTGTCAGCATGAACAGTTTCTCAGTCAGTTTTGTTCAACCAAAAAGCTCACTTAAAAGCTCTCTTTTTCCAGTAAGAAAATGTCCAAGCCTTTTATCATGTCCTCGGTCCTAGGATCTATCTTGCAGCACTATGTTATACCTTCTCCATGGCCACATATGCTTCCTGCAGCTTGGTGATCAGCATAGCACAAAGCAGTCAACTGGGGTCCAAGTACCACCAGGGCCGAACAATATAACTCCTTTGGTGTTATCTTCAGTCCCTGTGTTTAATACAACTCAAGACCTCATTTGCTCATTTTATGGCTGCTGTATGCTGGTCTATTTCTGTTTCAAAACCCCCAAATCTTCCATTTAAATAGCATAATACTGCTGCTCGCTTGGCCCAGACGATGAGCCAGTATTCAGGACCTTGGAGGTTTGTTTCAGTTAGAAGGATAAATTGGTAATATGAGTCAGGGATATTTTCTGATGCAGTCTTGTTTCACTACAGAGACTGAACACAAAGTCCTGTTTCCCTGGACACAGTAGAAATAAACAGGCAGTTTTTTATTAACAATTTCCAAGTCTTCCTCTGCAGCAAGTTCTGTCTCTCCTCCCTCTCTGGGCCATCTTCACAACTGCTTCCTTTGCACTCTCCTCACTTTTCTTTTTGAACACATACACAGCTTGCCAAACAATCTTCTAGCCTCTGTGTTTGTTCCCTTAGGGAAACCCTCAGACCTGCTCAGACTTTTCCATATGGCCCAGTGCCTTATGCACTCTTCTCCTATTGTTTCTAGCTATCATTACATAAAGAAGGATTTAATTGCTCCTGATAGTAACATGCATGAGCTTTAACCTGGTCTGTGATTGTTTACAGATCACAGACTTGCTCACGGTAGCACATTAACACACCTTTCACAATACGTTCTTCCTTTGTTCAAGTCTGACTCTTGGACATTTGTCTGCACTGACCTGTGTTCGCCACCTGCAATCTGTCCCCTAAATGAAACAAATATATTGTGGCAGTAGCATTTTAAATGCATAATTTTGAACATTATTTGGATGTATTAACCAATACCATAATCTTAATTTATCAAGAAGACCAACTTTTGTCCCAATATACATTGTGTTGATGTTGATGGGGTTGCCTGGGTGTGAGTCAAGGTAGAACTGGCACATTTTACTCTATAAATAGTGCTTGTAAGGCCTAGAAGGACGCACTAGGATTCTATGACCTTTCTAACCTAAAGGGTTCCATGATCTATACACAGAATTGGCCACCAACTTAAAAAAAGACTTAGAAATTGGCCAGAAGACAAGGCAACTATAGAGAAGGGTGGAATCAGGAGCTCAACAGGTTCACCTCAGGGAGAGGGTTGCAAGGAGATCTACTGTAATTTTGGGTTAAAAGAGGATCCCACAAGCATCTGGGTAGGAGTCTCTCCACCACATAAAACCAGGAGCATGAACAGAGACTGTATAAAAAGAAGTTCAGGTCAGGTATTAGGAAGACTATTTTTCATCCAGAATGTGCAGTAGGCCATTGGATAGAATACTTCCTTGGTAGTTCTGCTGAGAAGCAGGTGGAAATGGCTCTCTTCTCCCTCCGTATGTGTAGGTCATTTAAATGCTGTTCAGCTCCATTTGCCAGAGTGAGATTTCACAGAGACTGGACAGAGGCTTGCCCCCAATCAGGAGCAGCATATCAGGATGGTTGGTAACTGCCACGCTTGTAGGTCTCTCATGCCAACAGTCAGTTCCTCTCCTGTTTTTTGTAACTTCAGCGGCAGTGAGAGCTTGTTCTTTGGAAGAGCTGCAATGGGAGAGATGCTCATTTTTGGAAAATATGCTCTGTGCTTTGTCTGCGCACAGCTCTGCGTCTGAAGAGGTTTGGAATAAGCAAAAGCCCAATGGCTCCAGAGGCTGGCTAAAGGTTTTCATTTCTATCTCGGTGCCACCATCGTTGCTGAATGGTTGGTGTACATGCTGCTGGCGAAAGTAGCCATGAAAATGGGCACGCTGCTTCGAGACTGCCGGCGACTTTTGAGGCTCTTTCCCCTTTGGACACCAGTGATTGATGGGGGATGCCCTAGAGAAACCTGGCGTCAGCTGGAAACCAACACCAATTCCCAGGATGCGGTGATACCTTTTAGAAGAAAGAATTACCTCTGTTGTACTAGCCAGTTTTTCCCACGTCTGGGAACTGAAATGGTATTTCCACAGGCTGTTGTTAGGCCTAGAATTTGAAATCCCTCCACCAAAAGTCAGCATGGAGTCTTGAAAGACCACAGAAGAGTGTCCCACCACTTTTGGAGGTCCTTGTCTAAACACAAGGACAGGCAACATTTAGTGCTTATAAGAAGAACAAGAATATTCATTATTTCAGTTGGAAAAGGAAATGGTCATCACATTTCTGCTGGCCCTGGGGCATCAAAACTTTGTCCAGCTAAGAGCTGCCTTGGCAACTTTCCCAAAAATCAAGGATCTTTTCCTGACATAAAATGCAGCAGACTGCAGCCACCCTCATATTTGATATGGAAGGGTGATCCACAGAGACAAGAGGTCCCAAGATGCAATGCTCCCTCTCAATCTGGACAGTTTTTACCTTGATTAAAATGGCAACATCCCACCGTGGGCCCCGTAGTCTCTGCAGCCTGCCTCTTCCTATTAAAGATAAGGGCAACCAGAAGCCACACCTTTTCCATACTTGCTCTATTTCCCTAATTCTCAAACTCAAATCCAAGGAACAGTGAAACCTGATCCAATGCAGTTAGCTTAAATCCCTAAGAAATCACAGAAATTGCAAAGATCTTCTTGTGTGTTACAGGGGTGAACAATTGTTCCAGGTGTTCTATTCCTTAGTCCTCTGTCTAATTTTCAAAGATTCAGATACTTCCACTACTTTAAGCTCTGTTTGCCTGGATACAATGCTATAGGGTGGGGCCTCACTTTTCTTTCACTAATTTATTTAGTATGACAATGAATGAGGTTTACCTTGTTCTGATAGTGGACCACTTGCAGCTTGTAAAGTCCCACTTCCATAGGTCCCTCTGTTCACTCAGCCCCATCAGTCCGCCAAACAGGTACATGCCTGTGCCATAAACCACAGCTGAGTGACCATGCCGGGGTCCTGGACCAGTGTCACAAGACTGTGGAGATACCTGTGACCACTCTCCTGTATCTGAAAGCAAAAGGTAACATTACAGAGATATCAAGGATGTTTGATAACTGAGAACAACCATATTTAAAGAACAAAGCAACATGTAGCTATGAGGATAGTTTTATTTCCTTTCCATTCCCTCAAGTTAATCCGGCATGAGATGCCATGGTAATATATGAAAACTAAAGTATGGTGATTAAAAAAAAATCCCAAAACCTATTTTGAAGTGTGTTAATGCAAGTTCCAGATGGGCAACCCTGGGAACTGGAGTCATTTATTTACAGAGCAGGTACCGCAGGCTTCCTAACACTGCTCTGTTCGTGCGCTTCTACTCTGACCTGGAAAGACTGCTTTGCTTTCCAGGGATGAGAGGGTACACCAGTCGTCAGGCACACTTGCTCATTAGTGCCTCTGCTGGCAATGGGTAGGAGGAACCCAGGATGATACAGATACACCATTGAACAGCCATTAGATGACAAATGCTTTCAGTCACTCTGAACATGGGATTTTCTGGTTTGCAAACCAGGATAATAGAGGCTGGTGATGAAATATGCAGATGAAACCATCCCCTGCCAATGCAGGATTTTGATCCCTATGGTATTTTACATTGAGTCCCAGCAATTAGAGATGCTTAAAATTCTGCAGTAAAACACACTTTGTCAGAGCAGACCCTGTCTGTCGAACAGCTTTGATGCACGCGACTGAGAATAGCTGTCTTCCTTTGCAGTTTAAGGCTCCAGTTGAAAAGCCAGTTGCAACAGCACCAACTTATAGTGAAGGGTGGCAGATTAAAAGTCAGGTTCTAATTCAGGAACTGAATTCTGTTTACAGAGTGGATGTTCATGGGGAGGTAGATAGGGTCTTCAAAAGATGGGTTAACTTCTAAAAAGCATTGAGGCCTTGCCCTGAATATTAACACCAGTAACAAACCATTGATATTGCTGCACCTCTACAAACCCCTGAGGTAGACACGCAAAGCCGCTGAAACAGGGATAAGGTGCACCAGTACAAATTTACAGCAATTTACCCAGTCGACATGAGAGGTTTGAATGAGGACAGCTATAGTGGAGGCTGAGCACTGATGCATGGAATCAGGGAAGATCACCAGTGTAGCTGAGGCTTAAGGTTTTTAGCAATCCTGTTTGAACAGGTGAAAAATATGACAGTAGACAGCAAAACCTATCAGCTGATCTCTGTACAGTGGACTCGCTGAAATTGTGTTGGAGACCTCAGCCCAGAGAACTAGTGCAGACTCCTTCAGAACTATGTTGCCCTGCTAGCATTAATTCCAGCCTAAAATGGGTTTTCTCTGCAATCAGAATGTAAGGGGGAAAAAAAATTTTAAATGAAAGATTAAATTCTGCCCACCATAGCAAAATCTGAGGGTTTACACAGGTTTCTATACCATCCCTGTTGATAAGGGGTTTCTTAAGAGGCCAATCCACATCCCACTGAAGTCATGATGGAGGCTCTCCATTAACTTCACTGGGCGTTGGATCAGATCCTAAGAGAAGCTTTAACTTACCAAAACGTAAAGCCCAAAACTCTTGTGAAATCCCTTTGATGTCGAAGTATCCCCCATAGATGTACATGCTGGAATTGTACACTACTGCGCTGTGGCCCTTTCTGTTAGCTGGAGCAATGCTCTGAAAACATTTTAGTAATGAAATGAAAAATCACTTTAACAAACTTTGACACAGACATCCTGGATTTATGTAGGTTTATCTCAGCACCACTTTCTGCCCCAATTAAGAAAAGAAAATCTAGTGATATCTGGGTGAAACTCTTAGCAATTTTGATTTGGGTGATTTCATGTTCCAAATTGTATGAAATATGAATTTTTGCACTGAAACATGAAAGTTCAAATCTTCAGATGTGCTGATGTGAAAACTGATCCCATATCCAAACAAGAAGTTAATGTTTACATTTTGAGGTTTTCACTCAAAAACAGGAGTGGGTTTTTTGTTTTTGTGTGTACTGATTCACTTTCATCCAAATAAGTCCCTAATTTAGAGTGAAGAAATGAAAAAATTGCCAGATTTTTGTGAAAACAGAGCACATCAAACTTTGAGGTTTATGAATATCGTCAATATCTTTAAACAATCCTAGTTTTAAGAGAATAAGCCGCTTGTAAAGTGGCAACCCATGCTTAATATTGGCCCTCTTGATTGAAGTGTTTTAAAAGAACAGTAGAGGTAATAACATTCAGCATTTACATCCTAGGATCAAAGTGTTTTGCAAAGGTAGGTAGTATCCCAGTTTTTCAGAACGGGGAAACCTCAGCTATTGAAATTGCAGGGAAATAAAGCAGTGTACTTTACAGCAACATGTCCCTGAGGAGTCTAGACTGGAACTGTTTTGAAGAACACATTTTAAAGCAACCTGTTTAATCAATATGTATTTGATTCACACATTCCCTGGTTTCTTACCTCAGTCTCCACTGCTGTGTGCCGGCACTCAGTCCATCTCGCTGAATCTAAAAGGATTTTTTTTAAACAAAGTGTAGTTTATATCTAGGACCACAAGAGGACACTGTTCCTTCTAAAATTGCTATTCTGATTTTTTTTTTTAAGTGTCATCCTGGTGTATTTACCATATAGCAAGGATGAAACACATAACACTAACATAGCAGTATAGTGAGCTACCAAAGGGCATATTTTAATCACCTTTATCTAAGTTGTCTTTTCATACTCTGAGCTAAGAAAATATTACACTGTATTATAGACTTCCTACACCAAGGTTTCTCAATGTAAATATCACCATCAGCCATTCTGTATGTTATACATAAAAAGTTTGTGTTTTCATCTGGGGAATGCTCTTCTTTTGTAACACCATAATGTAGTCTAAATGTGCAAAAGTTCCATTTACCTTGAGATCTTGGTAGTGAATATTTTTAATGAGGGCAATTTAAAAAAAAAAGTAAATCTTTCACTGATACTCTATAGAGTCCAATTTTTACTGATGAGTAATTTAGTGCTATGACTCAGGGAAGCCTATTTCATACGATGCTTTACACTTTGATAGGAGTTTTCATCTGAGGATCTCAACATTCATTAATTCAGGCAGGTGAGTGAGTATTTCTACTTTACATGATGGGAAACTGAGGCAGAGATAGGGAAGAACTTGCCTAAGATCATATAGTGAAATAAGGAGAGAATAGTAGCAAGGAGTCTTCACTCCCAGTTTTCGCCTCCAGCCACTAGCCATGGTACTGCTCGTGGGAAAATATATATAATATGCTTATGTAATGTTGCACTGAAATATTAATAGTAAATTATTTAACAGCATATAAAATTAAATACTGCAATATTGTCCAGGGAAAATATATAAAATATTATTGGATAGAATATTAATGTCCCATTGCCTTTATTAGAGCTAAATCAGTGATAAAAACAAAACAAAAAAATTAGTCTTTCAAGACAGTCAGGAAAAATTTTAAGAAATGCTGTTTTCATTTTTCCCTTTTCTTCATCTTAAGTAGTTTTCTACTTTATTTGATCTTTTTAGGGCATGTCTATACTTACCGGGGATCGATGCTGCTGCAATTGATACACTGGGGGTTGATTTAGCAGGTCTAGTGAATACCCACTAAATCGACCACAGATCACTCTCCTGTCAACTCCGGTACTCCACCGGAAGGAGAAGCATAAGGTAAGTTGACAGAAAAGCATCTCATGTCGACACAACGCAGTGTAGACACCACCATAAGTTGACCTAAGCTACATCGACTCCAGCTACATTATTCATGTGGCTGGAGTTGCGTAACTTAGGTCCACTTACCCCCGTAGCATAGACAAGGCCTTAGTGCCAGCCTTTCTATGTGTTTCTCAGAGTGCAAAATACGTTACTATTTTCTTCCCGTAATAGACAAAAACTTGTGACTTTTCTTTACATTGGACGTAATTTAGAAAAAAAATCCCCTCATATCTAAGCCTGCTATTTCACTGCTAAAGAACTTTTTAAAGATCAACTTATAAAACTCTAAAAGTAAAGAGTCTAATGAAAATGCTGAAAACCTTGAGTACAGAAATGTTGCTACAAAATGTTTCCTGCTGGAAAGGAAAATTGATTGTTTGACAGTTTAACAGCCGAATTTTTTAGTACAAAATTCTGTCTGTGGTTTTGCATGTAAAACTCGCAGTGAAGCCAAAGGGAAATGGGAGCGTGTGTACATACACGTACATCAGAGGACACAACTGGGCCCTTGCTATTTATTACCCTCTGTGGAATTACTTTGTATTTGAGCTGCCTCTTGGAAGAAAACTGGTTATCTTGTTCCATACCAATGTCATACATCCAGAGAGGGATCTTCACCTGCGTAAAAGCAGAATCCACCATCCCACCGAAAATATAGAGGATGCCCTGCAAGCACAATGATATTCATTTATCACCCGGAGTGCAGTACAAAAATCTAAAAACAATTTTAAAAGGACAAAGCCCCCATCACCAAATAAAATACCCCAAAATGCACAGCCAATCTTATCCAGTCAACAAGAATGCCACTAGGCCATTTTTTATTATTATTTGAGTGCTGTATAAGGACAGCAAAAAATCATCCAGTGATACAGTTTATGATAGTATAGTAATTCTTATTTATCAAAACATTTTACAGACCACATACAGATATCATGCCTGAAATACAGCCAAGTCTTGGGGGGAAGGTGACAAATTGTTTCCCAGGGCACAGCAACGAAACAGTTTGTGCCACAGCACCAAAGAAAAACATCTATTGAGGAGCAGGACTAATTTAAACTCACCTGATAAGCCACCATTGAATGTTCTTCCAGTTCTTCTGGGCCATCTTCTGAACAATCCAGTTTTTCCCATTCATTGCTTGCTAGGAAACAAAAGGAGCGCTAAAATGGATACACACAAACCACATGGAAGTTAGCAGTAGGGTGAAGATGAGATGCTTTGAAGGAGGCATCTTTGGTTCTGCCTGCACTTCCAAAATGAGCCACGACTGATATTGGGATCAAACACAGTTTTCCCGTTGACCGGTGTGGGAAGGTGAAAATGTAAACAACTTTAACTGGATGGTTCATTCACCATTTTTTTTCTATTAGCATGGAAGGTTGAATTAATTTCTCCCACAAAATAGGTTTGTACTTTTCTATTTGGCAAACAATTTTATCTCTCTCTTGGTTTGAACAGAGTTAAAATTGTTAATGGTTTTTATGTATTGTACACCAAAGCCTTGGTATCCCACAAGCATCAGTTTCAGCATAGCACTGGGATTCATGCTAGTGAACTGACCCTGACTAGGCCAGAATGGGGAGCACAAAACACTGGGGTGTTAAATGAACTTCACAAAAAAGTGTTTGTTTTAATTTCTTTGTAATGAAAGTTGCAAATTTGATAATTCAGCCTTACAATATCCAGGTGTTTTTGTACTAAAATGTTGCAGTAATTATCTGTATTTTTAATATGTAACTTGAATCAGAGTATTTTAAGGAGAGCATTATTTTTAGCTTAAAATAAGGGAAAACAAATCTGATGCTTCGGTGTGTAATGACAACAGGAACATATGTGCACCCCATTACATAATTAGGTAGGTGCATTATGAGCTTTTCACCTACACCACAACCATTCAGCTTTGGCACTTGCGAGAGGCAGAATACCAGCTTCAATGGATCAATATGGCAAATCCTACCATTCCCAAACTGTGGAATGTGAACTTGACAGTCCATCTATTCACTTTACAGTTTTTTAAGAAGGTAGCAGGTGAACCATTAAAGTTTGGAAGCCGGTGGCCTAGAGACTTGTTATGCTATGGAGTGGCTCCGATTTCACAAGGATCCATGTGTGACTCTGCATCCAGTCGTACAGTGGAGGGACACACTTACCTATATTGTACCGCCAGAAGTCACTTAGGCTGCTATTGCACCGACCCCCATAAAGATAAACAAACCCTCTGCAGATGCTGCAGGCATGTTTGAACCGATCGCATGGAAAAGGCTTGCTCTGTGGTACAGGTTTCCATAGGCACATTGCAGTTTTCCTTTTCATCCCTACATCTGGGTTCTTGCCAAATCCATTGTCTTCTGTAAAGGGTAGCAGTACCAGGGAGATCCCCCCAAAAAGTCAGGGACCCAGTCTCATCTTGGTACAGTCTGCGAATGAGAGTGAGGGAGAATTTAAAATAGTGTCAGACGTTTGATGCAGCCCTATGATACAAAACGTTCCTGTTTTCTGCCTGCCTCACCAAAACTAACACCATTTAACTTACGTCAGTTAATGAACTCCACAGCAACACCACTTCTTTCGTCAATTGGGGTAACACACTGATTATAATATATTTGGACTTCAGTAAAGCATTTGATATGTTGACTCACAAAATCTTCCTTTCCGAACCCAGTGTTTTTCAAAGTTCGGGTCGCGATCCAGTACTGGGTCGCGGCATGTAAGGTGCTGGATCGCTTTGCTCAGCAGCCAGGGACCCTAGGAACTCTGGTCAGCACTGCTGACCAGGACGTTAAAAATCCCATCGCCCAGCTAAGGCAGGCTAGTGCCTACCTGTTCCTATGCTGCACCTCGGAAGCGGCCAGAAGCAGGTCTGGCTTCTAGGCAGGGGGGCCACGGGGCTCTGCGTGTTGCCCCTGCCCCGAGCACCGGCTTCGCACTCCCATTGGCTGGGAACGGGCCAATGGGAGCTGGGGGTGGGGGTGTGCCGCGCAGAGCTGCTTGCGTACCTCAGCCTAGGAGCCGCACCTGCTGCTGGCCGCTTCCGGCCCCTTCCAGGTCACAGTGCAGTCCACGGTACCAGGACAGACGGGAAGCCTGCCTTAGCACCCCGGCTGCGCCGCTGACCGGGAGCTGCCGGAGTTAAGTCCGCGCCTCAATTCCCTGCCCCAGCCTTGAGCCCCTTCCTGCACCCCAAACCCCTCATCCCCGGCTCCACCCCAGAGCCCTGACCCCCTCCCACACCCCAAATCCCTCACCCAGCCTTGAGCCCCCTCAAACCCAGAACCCCTTCTGCACCCCAAATTCCTCATCTCCAGCTCCGTTGGGTCACGGGCATCAATTATTTTCTTCAACTGGGTCCCCAGAAAAAAAGTTTAAAAACCACTGTTTGAATTTAAGACTTCTGTGAATTGCAAAGTGATTGAAAGATGGCAAATAAAGGGAAGTAACAGACAATGGGCCTTGTCTAGGAAAGGTGTACAGAAATAAAACCACAGGGACTGTGGCTAGGTTTGTTTTACATCCTCTTGTAATCTGTGTCTGATACAAAGTTGGGAGGATAAAACATACAGATTAAAAGTGGGCCACAAGAAGTAACCCAGACTGAATTTAGACGCCACGCTCAAAGGCATCTGGAATCAAGGCAGACCTGGAGAAAACAAAGTAATACTTTAACCTAATTTGCCACAAGATATCACTGTATTTGGTGTAAAGAGAGCAAGAGCATTCATCTACCTTTTTTTTTTTTAAAAAGTTTTAACCCTTTTCTTGTTGGGGCATGGCTAATGCTTAAAAGCTGCTTATTTTATGGGAGCACAGATAATTTCAATAATGGTAGCCATTCCGTTTAAAAGACACACCATTTGTGAAACTGAGTGTGCCTTTTTCAACTGGACACTCTTGGTGTTAGCCAGAGTCCAAAATAACAAGAATTGAGAAGGAGGCTAAAGGTAGAAATCTAAGGTTACAGATTACAGACTAGCAGGCAAAGCACATTTGAAAATATCAGTCAATAGTCATAGGTGTGAATGTATACTAAATAGCTAGTGCTCTAGGGAACCATCTTCAGACTAGGGACCGAATGGCTAGGCAGCAGTTCTGCGGAAAAGGACCTAGGGGTGACAGTGGATGAGAAGCTGGATATGAGTCAGCAGTGTGCCCTTGTTGCCAAGAAGGCCAATGGCATTTTGGGATGTATAAGTAGGGGCATTGCCAACAGATCGAGGGACGTGATCGTCCCCCTCTATTCGACATTGGTGAGGCCTTATCTGGAGTACTGTGTCCAGTTTTGGGCCCCACACTACAAGAAGGATGTGGATAAATTGGAAAGAGTCCAGCGAAGGGCAACAAAAATGATTAGGGGTCTGGAACACATGACTTATGAGGAGAGGCTGAGGGAACTGGGATTGTTTAGTCTGCAGAAGAGAAGAATGAGGGGGGATTTGATAGCTGCTTTCAACTACCTGAGAAGTGGTTCCAGAGAGGATGGTTCTAGACTATTCTCAGTGGTAGAAGAGGACAGGACAAGGAGTAATGGTCTCAAGTTGCAGTGGGGGGGGGGTTAGGTTGGATATTAGGAAAAACTTTTTCACTAGGAGGGTGGTGAAACACTGGAATGCGTTGCCTAGGGAGGTGGTGGAATCTCCTTCCTTAGAAGTTTTTAAGGTCAGGCTTGACAAAGCCCTGGCTAGGATGATTTAATTGGGGATTGGTCCTGCTTTTGAGCAGGGGGTTGGACTAGATGACCTCCTGAGGTCCCTGATATTCTATGATTCTATGACCTGCTGCAGGACTAAGTGAAATCTACTCCTAAGGCATCTGCTTTGAATATAATAATTACAAAGTAAAAAAGAGGATATGTTATCACTCTCTTTAATGACTGAGGATCTGGAAATATCCTAAAGCTAACTAGATGAATGGGTCTGAAACCCTTCGTTTGCCAAGATAGACATGCCAAGCCAAAAACAAAAAACCCCCACTCATATGCAAAAGTTTACCCTTACGTTTACATTAAATCTAAGTGGAAAGTAAAGGATTATGGAAGAGGCAAGCTGCCAATATGGAAAAAGAAAAATCTATGGACAGAATAAGTCCGTGGTTAATAGATGCTAGCTCTCCCAATCTTTGTTTTGTTTATGGTTCCAAGGTTGGACATCTGAGAAAAGGCGATCAGAGCTATCTGTCTTCAGTGCTAAAAGACTAGAATGGTTCAGTTTAAGGATGAAGCAAAGGAATAGAAAGCAGGTTCTGGAAAGTTTTATCCTCTCGATCTCAGGACATGATGCTAGCAGGCCTGCTCCTAGAGCAAAAAAGGAAGGACGCCCATTGTTACCAGTGGAGGAAGAAAAGGGCTGACTGTCACTATCCAGGGCAAAGCATGTTGAGAAAGGGGAGGAGTAAAGGGCCCTTAAAATACATATTCCTCTCCTTGTTGGTGTTGTAGGGAGGAGATGTCTGCTTGGTTGAGACTCCCTCCATCACTACAAAAACTAATTTCCCCCTGCCGATACTCTCACCTTCTTGTCAACTGTTTGAAATGGATCACCTTGATTACATTGGCCTCATTAGCACTACAAAAAGTGATTTCCACCCCTGGTCAACTGTTGAGAATAGCCCACTTCCACCTTAATTGAATTGGCTCATTAGCACTGACCTCCCACTTGGCAAGACAGCTCCCATCTTTTCATGTGCTGTGTATTTACACCTCTCTACTGTATTTTCCACTCCATGCATCTGATGAAGTGGGTTTTAGCCCATGAACGCTTATGCCCAAATAAATTTGTTCGTCTCTAAGGTGCCATAAGGGCTCATTGTTTTTGCTGATACAGACTAACATGGCTACCACTCTGAAACCTCTTATTAATAGTACATGCTGCTAATCTCACATCCTCCTTATAGTCTGAAGGGACTGGGGCTACACTTCACTTCCTGTTTATTATTAGTGTACACAGACAGTTACTGTGTGCTGTGAAACAGTTGCGTATCTTAATGGTGAGAGAGGCTATTCCCGTGTAGAGGATATGAAGAAGCACTTTGGCATTCCAATGGATCAGAGGTGCAATATAAATCTGAATGTGGTTTGCATATAAAGCAATTACATCATCTGAGTCTGTAGCCAGAAAGCTTCATTGCCTCTGTTGCTGCTCACAGCTTTACTGAGTGGTAGCAAAGTGAAATTAACAAGAGTGGAAACTTTCAATGCAACTATTCATAACTCTGTGGCCAGTAGTGAAACTGTCACTAAACCTGTCAGTTTCATGCTTGGCAGCAAGCAGTAGCAAAAGCAGGTACTGGAATTGCATATCTATGTCTAGCTTAGTGATTTAGTTCTCTAGCTATGGGTTTCTCGCAACAAATATTTTGATGGCCTCAGAGTGCGGCCAACAAATTTTGCTGGTGGCCGCTCTGACAATTTTTTCTAAAATACTTAAATTAACTTTAGGAAAAACAAATAAATATGCACATATACATGTCCAAATCCTTGCAATTTATTTATGTAGTGTTTTTTGCAGTCTCAATAGTAAAAATAATGTATAGTTGTCTCTATTCTTTATTGGACCTAAACAGAATAGCAGCACAAATCAGGTGCTTTGCATATTCTTCTCTTTTTTGTTGTGGTTTCTTTTTCTTTTCTGTTTTTTAGACTTTGTAGCCAGTAAGTCTGCTGTTGTGAAAAGTGGTACTTGTATGTTAATATAACTTTTCACAGCTTCCCAGCTAGCTACTAACTCTGCTGTGAAAAGTGATATTAGCTCCAACCCCTCAGACAGAGACAAACACCTACAAGATCTCTATCAAGCATTCTTACAACTACAGTACCCACCTGCGGAAGTGAAGGAACAGATTGATAGAGCCAGAAGAGTTCCCAGAAGTCATCTACTACAGGACAGGCCTAACAAAGAAAATAACAACACCACCAGCCGTCACCTTCAGCCCCCAACTAAAACCCCTCCAACGCATTATCAAGGATCTACAACCTATCCTGAAGGATGACCCAACACTCTCACAAATCTTGGGAGACAGGCCAGTCCTTGCCTACAGACAGCCCCCCAACCTGAAGCGAATACTCACCAGCAACCACATACCACACAACAGAACCACTAACCCAGGAACCTATCCTTGCAACAAACCCAGGAACCTATCCTTGCAACAAAGCCCGTTGCCAACTGTGCCCACATATCTATTCAGGGGACACCATCACAGGGCCTAATAACATCAGCCACACTATCAGAGGCTCGTTCACCTGCACATCCACCAATGTGATATATGCCATCATGTGCCAGCAATGCCCCTCTGCCATGTACATTGGTCAAACTGGACAGTCTCTACGTAAAAGAATAAATGGACACAAATCAGATGTCAAGAATTATAACATTCAAAAACCAGTTGGAGAACACTTCAATCTCTCTGGTCACTCGATTTCTGATCTCAAAGTGACTATCCTTCAACAAAAAAACTTCAAAAACAGACTCCAACGAGAGACTGCTGAATTGGAATTAATTTGCAAATTGGATACAATTAACTTAGGCTTGACTAGAGACTGGGAATGGTTGAGTTATTATAAAAAGTAACCTATTTTCCCTTGTTTATTCCTCCCCCCTCCCACAGTTCCTCAGACATTCTTGTTAAACCCTGGATTTGTGCTGGAAATGGCCCACCTTGATTATCATACACATTGTAAGGAGAGTGATCACTTTAGATAAGCTATTACCAACAGGAGAGTAGGGTGGGGGGAGAGAAAACCTTTTGTAGTGATAAACACTCATTTTTTCATGGTTTGTGTGTATAAAAACATCTTCTGTATTTTCCACAGTATGCATCCAATGAAGTGAGCTGTAGCTCACGAAAGCTTATGCTCAAATAAATTGGTTAGTCTTTAAGGTGCCACAAGTACTCCTTTTCTTTATACAAATATCAGATTTTCACAGTAGATTTGCTCAGCCCCAGCAAGCCTGGGGACAAATTAAGCTCTGGGTAGGGAGGCAATGGGGACCAGGGGCGATGGGTGTTTGTGTGAGAGGAGTCAGGGAGGCACCCACTATCACGCTGCTGAGGGTGGTGGCCAGAGCCTTGAGACCCAAGCCCTGCAACCAGATCCTGGGGCCCAAGCCCAAAGCCCTGTGGCTGGGGGATGGAGTCCACCACCGCATGGCCAAAGCTCAGGACCGGAGAAGGCAGCTGGGGCTAGGGGCAATGGGGGGGGGGAAGAGGCAGTGAGCCAGGGTCAAAGCCAAAGCCTGGAACCGGGCGGCCGCAGCCCAAGGCTGGAGGAGGCAGCAGGGACCAGGGGTGATGGGGAGGGGTGGTGAGCCTAGGGATGGAGCCCACCACCATGCCGTGGAGCCTGCAACTCATCACCCCAGGGCTGAAGCCTGACCCCTCTGCCCCTGGAAAGTGGGGAACTCACTGGTGAGGGTCACCAGGTTTTGGGAAGTATTTTGGGGGGAAAGACGCGTCCAAACAGCTCTTCCCCAGTAACCAGTATTAGTTTGGTGGTGGTAGCGGCCAATCCAAGGACGACGGGTGGAATATTTTGTACCTTGGGGAAGTTTTGACCTAAGCTGGTAAAGATAAGCTTAGGAGGTTTTTCATGCAGGTCCCCACATCTGTACCCTAGAGTTCAGAGTGGGGGAGGAACCTTGACAGTTCCCCAAAAAAATGCTTTGCACCAGGGAAGCAAGGTATCTTCTCTTAGTATCTGCTTTCCGTCCAACTATTACCATATACAGACATGAAGTTTCATCCATGCAGGTGAGGTCACAAGGACACAATGTAAGTGGCAACACATGGTTACACACAATTTTCTTTGAGGAGAAGCCACTTTCCAGAAAAAGATTTGATTGCTGCACAGGGTCAACTGAGCTTGCTCTGGGCCAAGATGGCACTTTGCGAGCACAGTGATTAGATTCTAAAGGGCCAGTTTCTCAGACCTACATTTTGGTATTTATATTGTGCTCATCCACATAGTATGACATAGGTGCCTGAAGTTCAGGATTTATAACCATATTTAGCCATACTTAAGTCAATCAGGCTCTGCACAGGCACACAGGTCTGCTCACATAGCTCTGATTGCAGGATCAGGGCAATACCGTGACACAGAAACTACAAAGTAACTTGGACCTCTGTCAAGTTGCCGTTTGTTCCTACGTTGTTAGAAAAGGAAAACTGATGCTGCACTAGATTCAAGGATTAATGAACTCTTTAATACACAAGAAAATCCTGATCACAGAAGGATCCTGTAAGACTGTCTTTCTGTGTTCATAAACACGCTGGCTGAGTAATAGCGGTCAGGAATGATCCAATTGCATAATCCTTTGTTTGTTCTTACAACCTCCTATAATCAACCTACCCTCTTTGTTTTCCCCTCTGAAACGCTACATAATATCTTAGATTTCACTACCATGTTCAAACCCAAGTTCTTGTTTCGTAGAGTTCTCGGTATTCAGTCACTTTATGCCAGTCTCCCGCATTCAGACAGGGTCTCAGACACATGGAGCCGTATCCCCACAGGTTTTCAAACATTGGGTCCCCTATTCATTTCCAAAACCAGCTAAAAATGGCTGTCCTGGTTTTAAAAAACCTCCATGGATTTATTCCAGGCAACCTCGTGGCCCTTATTTGTCTCTACTTCTTTCTGCTCCTTCACTCCACTCATTAAGCACTACCTTCTTCTTTGCCCCTTCAAACAATCTCTCCGCTGTTAATGCAATAGCTTCCTTCTCTGCAACTCCTGTCACCTGGAACCGCCTTCCCGTATCTCTTCAACTCACATCAACCGTCCATCTCGCCTTACATTTCAAATAAAAAACAAACAAACATGTTTCCTCCTTTGCTTATACCTCAATCTCTCTCTGCTTCTGCTGTTGTTGATCTCTCTTCATACCTTCATTAGTTACACATGTAAAATAGTTCAGGATACAGTTTGTAACAAATAGGGTGCACAAAATGAAACTATGCAGCACAATATACAGTGTTACCCTCACTCTGGAGATCACAATAGCTCAAGCTCAGATTATTGCATAGGTACTGTTTGGAATAAAAAAAATCATTTTTGATTTTTTTGAATATTTTGTTTGCAACAAAAAATATTCTATTTGCGTAAAAGCAAACAAACCAGCAGTGTAGTGTAGGGTCCTGAACGACTATACTAGTGAGCTTAGTGCTACCTACTAAATAGCACTACTGCAGTCAATGGGACTAAACTCACAAATAAGTGTTTACAGGATCAGGCCTTAATTAGCCCCATCACATGCTGCCTTGATGATGGGAAAGCTTGTTGATTATTATTAGATTTCTTTTCAATTTATTTTAACTTTAAAATCACGTAATAAAAGACAGAGAAGTACAGAGGCTAAGGAAAAACAAGTTACATGAAAATAGCTTTGGAATACAAAATATGCAAAAACTTCAATTTATTTCTGATGTTAGTGGAGGAGACACCAGATTACATGTTACACTGGATTACAAAAAGCCCTTTCATATTTATCATTTGTAAAACCGGAGTAAATCCAGTGAACAATACATGTCTGAGAGCCTATCACCAATACTGTAATGCAATTTTGATAGCTGGTGTTGTTAGAATGTGCTAATCTGTTTTATACAAAATAAGCTAAATTTTATAGCTACATTGCAATCTAGTTTCCTTATTCATATTTTTAAACACTCCTCAAACACAAAGTTTGAGGACACTGCTTAAGAATGAGTGTATCTTTTCTTTCTAGCAGGACCAGCAGGTTTCACTTTGAAGAACTAACCAACTCGAAGCATGTTTAGAGTTCCTAATGTTTTATGGTGTAATGTGGCCTACTGGAAAAAAGCACTGAATTGGGACTCGGGAGTCCTGAGTTCTATTCCTGGCTTGGCTATTGGGTAACCTTGGGCAAGTCCCTTCGCCTCTCTATGCATCAGTTCACGCGTCTTTAAAATGGGGACGGTTATACTTTCCTATTTTTCAAATTGTTTTGAGATCTACTGATGAAAAATGCTATATGACAGCTACATTTCTTCCATATATTAGTGCAAACATTCAGAAAGGAAGACATCCTGATACCTATGTGGTCAATTATGGATCAAATCCTCCTTGCCTTACTTCAGTCTTATTATCATCATTGGAACTACTTACGTGAATAAAGTAAGGCTAAAAATGGAAGACTGGGGCTGAACTGAATTCGTGCCTTCTACAATTTTGTTTCTTGTGCACTACTTCAGGGGTGCCCAACCTGCAGCCTGCGGGCCGAACACAGCCCACCAGAGCATTTCATAAGGCCCACAGCTTGCTTCAACACAATAGACTAACCGCCAATTCATTAGCGTTTTCTTGTCATGTTTACATCATTGTAGTTTACACACGGAAGTATCAGAAACTGTGATAAAGAATGAGTTTAATTAAAAAAAAAAGTGGTGTCACGTTTCGTATAAGCGCAATCTTGTAAATAATAACCGCAGCTCAGCTGTAGGCTAACCAGACCAATTAAGTACGTACTTCCTTAGTGATTGTTGCTATAAAAATTCAGGAAGACGCCTTTGGACATGCGCAGATTAGCTATAGCCTGTCCCAGATGCAATACATTTGACGGATGGATGCGAAAATGCCTCCGACAAAAAACAGAATGTGGGCATTGAACATTGTGTTTTTCAAGTTAAGTGGACCAATCAATTCTTTTTTGTGCCCCATCAAGACAAATCAGTAGGTCTGATTTGTAAAGAAACAGCTGCAGTATGGAAGGAATATAACATCGAGAGAGACTGTGACATGAAACACAGGGAAAGTCTGATGAAAACAAAAGTGCACACCGAACTGTGCCCAAATGGTAAAATTATTAGGCCTCTTGGATCAGAATTTTGAGGTCAGATTTTCTGAATTCAAGTCATACACAGGTGACATCTGTCTGTTGAAAACCCTTTTGTTGCTAACGAGGATAATGTCCTTGTCTCTCTGCAAATGGAATTGACTGAACTGCCATTTAACTGCTATTTAAAAGACGTGTTTCACAAAAAGAAACTGGTGGAGTTTTCCTCACTGCTGCCCAATGATTGGTTCCAAAATTTGCTCGACGAATGTGCACAATTTTCGGCAGCACATACATCTGCGAACAAATGTTCTCAGTTATGAAGCAGAATAAGTCTAAGCTGTGGTACCTCCTAACAGACGACCACCTGCCTGCTATACTTCAGATGAGTGTCTCTAACTTTGAGCCAAACTTCAACAAACCGGTTGCTGAGAAATCACCTTAGACTTCTCACTAACTCAGAAAGTGCACTCTTTATTTGTGATTAGGAAGACGGTTATTTGTTCTTTACTGGGTTTTTTTTCCCTGTTTTCTATCATCCTGATATTCATTTTATTGATTGATTTCTTTGTTTTTTAAATAGACAATACTGTTCATAGAAACAACCTGTCTATATACAAAACAGGCTGAATTTAAAATGTAATTACAGGTGACTTTAAATCTTACTAAAATATGTAGAATCTATTTTACCCACACAAGATTGTGCCTAGGGTTATGTGGACCTCTCATGTAGTAAGGTTGGGCACCACTGCTAAATGACTTTGCAATCTCAATGCATCATCAGGGCTCCTTAATCTCCTAATTCAAATAATTTCTGAGCACTCTGACAACAGGCCCACAAGCAGTTAACTGACCTCTCCGTTCCATTATTTTTAAGGAAGAGTGTGAGAAGGAAAAGAAGGTTTGATTAGAAAATATATTTAATGCTCTAACCGCCTTCTCTTCTGTGTCTCCCAGTAAGTCTTGCCTTATCAGTGTCTGCATTTTAAACTGTAAACTTCTTGGGCATGCATTGTCTGCAAGTGTGCCTTTGTACTGTGCCCCTCATGAGTACTTCATAATCTCCATTTAGAGCGCTGATTACAAAGGAAAACTGCTACATTTCTGAAATTAATGGCTATAGTGGAAACATTGCTGAGCAAGTTATTTGTCCCTAGGATTAAATATTGATC